CTTACTCTGGAATATTGTTCTCATTTGCCCTAAATTCATATTCTGAAGCCCTGATCCCTAGCACCTGAGAATATAACTAGTTTTGGAGACAGGGACTTGACAGGAAACAACTGGGTTAAATGAGAAAATTAAGGAGGGCCTTTATGCAATCTGGTTAGTGTTTTTATAAAAAAGGGAAGTTTAAACACACAAAGGGACCTCAGGGAGGAAAAACTACATGAGGACCCAGAGAGAGGGTGGGATCTTTGAGCCAAGGAGAGATGCCTCAGAAACAAAACCCTTTGAATTTCTGGCCTCTAGAACTGAGAAGTAATTCTTCATAGCCACCTGCCTCTTGTATTTTATTATAGTAGCAATAGCAGATACATACAACAGTCTCCCCCACACTGCTACTCTCTCTCTTCCTTCTAAGACCTCTGTCTTCCTTTGCTACCAACAGCTCATGTACGTCTCATTCAGGGCGGGGGAGGAGAGGGTGCTAGTTCACATGTGTTCCACCAAAATGCATATTTTTGGCTTTTATCTACTGGTACTTCACATGATTGTTCAAGAACGTGGAGTCTTTGTTTCATGTGTTCAAATAAGGATGGGAGAAGACAAACACAATGTGTAGTGTGAAGATCCAGATCCCAATAATATATCATCCTGTTATAAATGTGTGTGCATAAACTCATATTTTTCTGGAGAACACTCTACAACTCTTTTCAAATTTTCAAAGGGATTTATAACCATAAGAACGAAAATTTTCCATATATTTTGAAATATGACTCAAGTATATATTTATAAAATGTATTTATAAATGCTTCAAATTTATAATTTATATACAACTTTAGAAATACAGTGTATTACCTAAAGGGAGAGCAGAATGTTTATCTTCAATAAATGTAAAACCATCTTGCACCCATTTGCTTCATTTAGAAATGTCTGATTTAATTTGCCCTGAAAACAGAAGCTAAAGTAAACTATCTGTGAGAAACTTATTTCCTCCATCATGCTTACCCAGTCTCATGTTAAGAGTTCATAAACTCACACTGCTGCTTCTACTGGGACAAGCTATCAGAGAGCTGCACCAGCAGTAAGGGATATTCTGTCCCACTCAGCACTGAGACTTACATATGTGTCTGTACGCCACAGAATTACTGTTCCTCATGTTTTCTTCTTTACATTCTGTTATGGCTTGTGTCTGAATGTCCCCCAAAGCCTCATATGGTCATTGGTGGGGCTGCTCAGAGGTGGCTGGATCTAGGGTCTGGAATTAAGGGCTTGTAATTACTAAATTAGTCCACTGATTTGTTTGGCATAGTTCTGGGTGTGTGGATTATGGGCAGGGCCACTCTGGGTGTGAGTGCTACCCACCCTGCGAGCATGTAGCATGGACAGAACACAGGAGACAGAAAGAAGGCTGCTATTATCACTTGCTTGCTGGTTGCTATTTCGCTGCTTTGCTGCCCTGTTGCCATCTGCCTGCCATGAACTGTTTCTCCTCTCTGATGCCTCTCTGTCACCCAGAGTCTGAGAGGGAAGCGTGATAGAGGGAGGGAATGAATGGAGCAGGTAGTGTATGAGACAAAGAGGGAGAAAGGAAGTTCCATGTCTTTGTTTCCAGTTGTCCCTAATTCCAAGCTTCGTTCCTATTCTTGGATTCCCTGAGATGCACAGGTACCTTTGCAATAATTTACCTTTTTACCTTAGTTAGGTCAAGTTGTTATTTCTAACAACATACCCATTAATTTAAATTCACACACACACACACACACACACACACACACACACACACACCAGATGATCTAAATTTATGAATAACAAATTTAACTCACAGATAACTTTTTGAAACAATTGAGGTGTGAGATAGTCAAGTGATTGTGTCCATTTGAATAAGAAATACCCAACTAAATTGGATTAGCATAGTTCTATGTGTGGCAGAAGACATTTGCTGAAAACAGGAGACCCAGCCCGGGTGTGAGTGGCACCAACCAATAGGCTTGTAGCTTAAATGGAATAAAAGGGAAAAGAGGAAGGAAGGCTCACTCTGCTTCTTGGTAAAAGCCTATCTTCACTTTTACCTTGCATGTCATCTCATAGTTTCCAGCACAGATTTCTCAGCCTTCTAGCACAGACCCTTGGATGTCCTGATATAGACTCTCACAAGATGCTATAGTGAGCTCTAGGCCTTTGCTTTTTGATTGGATCCTTCACATCTCCAGCACAAGACAGACCTTTTGTGCTCTGCTCTTCCACGCCTGACTGGGCGGCCACTGGAAGCCCTCCTTGTAAATTCTCACATAGCTGTATATCTTACATTAAGTGTTTCTCTAGTGAGCACCAACTGATACAAGATGAAAACAAGGATTTTCTCTTTATAGAGTTCCAATACTATGAATCAACACTATGGCTAAGGAAGACCCTTGTGTGGTACTAATTTTTAGAAGAGACTATAAAACTCTAGATATACACTGTGTCATGGCAATCCACCTGAAATAAAAACACCAGGAACTATGAATGTATGGAAAGACTGTAAGCTACCTCACTGTAAAGGGGGTGTGAACCAGCTCTGCAGATTCTGGCTTGATTTTATTGCTTTAGACAGCAAGGTAACTACTGATAATCACTTCTGACTTCTGGCCCTACTAAAAAAATTCAAAAGGAAATGAAAAATATTTTTTCTCTCATCGGCAAATAGAGTTACAGTTGGGGGGCACAAGTAGTTGAAAGCTCAAGGCTTGTAAAAGTAAAGGCTGACTGAGTTTAATAAACAACAGAAGCATCTGAATCCTCTAAGCTTATTCAAGGAAAACGCTGCCAAATAACCAAAACAAGGGTAAATATCAGGCTGATGGATGGATTTTTACAAGTGTCACGTGGCACATACATCTAATAGGGTCCTGATAACAGCCTGTATCTGTCTGTCTGACTGTCTCTCTTAAACTTTTTAGAGTTCTGCACAGGTACAGTGCATATTCTTCAGCAGCCTGTGAAAGGGCTTGGTTGGTATGAGCTATTTCTCAATTTTACTTACTGTGATAATAGGGTTTCTTGAGTACCTTGCTCAAGTGTTCATTTCCAGGTAAGTGTGTCTGTTTTGCAATTCTGTATTTTAGGAGGAGTGTTTTAGGACTTCTTGCAGTACTGTATCAGTCTACATAAACTCATATGCACACACCCCTCTGTGTGGAGGACTGATATGGTAATATTTTCAATTTAGCCGCAAAACTCTGGCACCCCAATGTTCTAAATATCCTTTCAATTTTTCTGTATTTTAACAAAAGGCTGAACTGTTGTCCAGAGGAATGAAAGTTGCCCTGTGGCAGCTCTAGCTGCAGACATCCCTATACACACGTATAGCCCAGTGCACATTAGCTACCTCTCTACAAGTTTCAGAATGCAGCCTTAGATCTGCTGAGAAATTTACTGGGCAGCTCTTCCGAGGCACAACCTGAAGAGACAATGCTGCATACTCAGTCCCTTGACTTATGTGTCTTTTCAGGCTGCTTACCCCAGTCCTTGCTTCCCTGCCCCTTGCTTGTGTGTTTTTTTTGCCTTAAACTCCATCGACAGTTGCCTCAAGAGAAAAAAAACAATCAATCACTTGACCATGATTTGATGAGTGTCCAAGACACACTGGATACACTCTGACATCAAATTGACTCTCTCATTTCCTTTTCAGAGTCAACTTAGGGGGAAACCACATAATAAGGGAAACAAACCACAATTCCTGGTGGAAAATCTTTCAGTCTTGGGGACTTCGGTTGGAGCCCATCCTGAGATCACTGACATGTGGCTGCTTTTAGTTGGGCCTAGTTTCAGAAAATCACATGTAACTTGCCCAGCAAAGAATTTGCTGGGGAAACTAAAAGAGGGAAGAAATGTAACAGAAAATGCACCCCCCACCCCAGCTACCGTACTTCAGTTTATTTTACAAGGTAATAGTTCCTGTTCCTATTGCTTCCATCTCTTAGGCACAGATGGTCACTGTGATGCACACTGTATAAACGAGTCCCAAACTGACAAGCCATTCTGCCTCTGCACTTCTGCTTGCTTATCTCATATAAGCTCTAGACCGCCAGAGCTCAGGGCTGATATTCCAGAGATGATCCCCATCAGTCTCCACTGACCTAAAGAAATCTGCCTCCAAATCTTGGGTGTCCTCTTGGTGTTTCTGCTTGTGGTTGCAGCTGAGCAGATCCGAGATGGGTTTGACAGAAGGAAAAGAAAGGGGTTCACAGAGCAGGCCAAGATCAAGTTCTGGTTCATGGTGTTTATTAATTTATTCTTTTTCTTTTCTTTTGGATTTTTGAGAAAAGGTCTCACTGTGTAGTTCAGGCTGGCCCTGTATTCATTATGTTGCCAGGGCTGGCCTTGAATTTGCCATGATCCTCTTGCCTCAGCCTCCCAAGTGCTGAGATTACAGATGACATGCTGAGATTGTGCCACCATGCCAGGCTTTTATTAATTTATTCTACAACCATCTGTTGAGACTACAACACTTGGGCCTTGGCTGGAAGCTCTGAGAGTAGAGAGGTGAAAACAAAACATCCTCAAACCCAAACAACCCAAACAACCCAAGTCCCTGCCCTCAATGACAAAGCTTGTAACCCAGTAGTAGTCAAATGCTTGTAGAGTGAATGGATGCCTGGATCCAGGCAGTGACAGCAGGGGTGACAGCTGGGGGCAGACAGCTTCCCACTTTGTGAATTTGTTAAGCACTGACTTAACCCAAATTGATTTTGCCATCCTGACTTTGGGATTACACGCTCTTTGCATGGCAATGTTACACTTTCATGCAAGCATTCCCTCTCTAATTTATGTGAAATGTGAACTCAAAGGGCCCATAAGCAGGAGAAAAGCCGAGGGGGCTTTAATGGACCCGCTCCAGGCAAGGCTACATAGAGCAGCTTGGACAAAGCCTTTCCGACAGAGCCACCAGGTGGCACCTGTAAGGCGCAGATGGGGAGAGACTCATTTGCCCCACACCCACGGCTTGGAATAACCAGCCTCCGCGCTTTCAACCCTAGTGGGCTTGTTGGCTACGAGGTAGGGGAGTTTTAGTCTGCTTCCAGACTGCGTGATTACAGGTCCCGTCTTCCTGACACCCCAAACATGACGAGGGCGTGTTTGTCCCCACGCGCTCAGGCTGCCAAAGGCGTGTCACAGGCTTCTTAGGAGCAACTCGGCCTCCGCCGCCCGCTGCGGGCGGGGACAGGCGGCGGGCGGCTGCGGGCTGCCGTGAGCTGCAAGCCCAGCCAGTGCCCAGGTCTCCTCGGCCGGACGCCCACTCGGGCCAAAACGCAGGAGAGGCAAGAGACCTCCCAGGGTGCGACAGACCAAAATCCCCCGAACGTGGGACACCGCCTCACACACCTTCGACCCCCAACCTTCGGCGTGGGGACAGTCCTTGGCCCAGGTCTGGGGCGCCTCCTTCCGCTGGGATTTCTCTCTGATTCCTCCTGCTGGCTGCAGCTCGGCGACCCCAGGTCACCCCTCCTCACATCAGCAGCGATCACACACCCAAAGTCGGGTGTCGCTCCCCGCCCCGCGCGCAGAGGGTCCGGGTGCGGGCGTTTGGGTCATTTCGAGGTGCGCAGCTGGGCCACCAACTCTGCTCCGTCTGTCGCGGGAGGCGAGCTGCGCCAGTTGCGCGACTGTCTCCATCGCCGACGACGCTTCAACTCGGCGGCCAGTGACATTGGGAGGAGACAGCCCGGAGGGAGCAGAGGAGGAGGAAGCGGGGCGCGCAGGGTCGGGGTAGGGACAGTAGCGATTGCGCCAGGGGGCGTGTGAGCCGCGCGCCAGGCGGCCGCGCCGGTACCAACTTCTTCCGGGCGTGCGCGGCGGGGAGCGCGGCCCGAGCCCGGAGCCGAGCGGAGGGCGGCGGAGCTCGGGAGCCGCGGCCCGCGCCCTGCGCCGCCGCCTGCTGGTCTGCTCCGGGTTCTCGGCCCCCGGTGCTGAGGCTCAGGTCTATAAATAGCAGGTTACAGCTCCCGCTCGGCGCGCACACGCTCACGCGCGAACGCAGGAAAGTCAGCCTAAAAGTGTCTGCCGCCGCCGCCGCCCCCTCTCAGCCCCCGGCAGAGGTAAGGACCCGCCGGGGACCTGGGGCTCGGTGGGGAATCTTGCAAGGTGGGGTGGCTGAGGGTGGGGGACTCGGCAGGCTTGGGAGCGAGTCTGAGGAGGGCGCGGGGCACATCCCCGGAGAGGGGATGCCTTTGGCACCAAGTTTCCAGAGGTTGCAGCCCCCGTGGACCCTCCAGCGCAGCCGCCCGCGGGCGAGGTGCGCCGCCTCTTTTGGGGTACCCCTGGCCTCGCTTGCAGCGCCTCGCCCGGCGCCCTCCGGCCCGGCCCCGCGCGCGCGGGTCCGCACTCACTCTCCCGCCCGGCTAACTCCGCGCTCGGGCCTCGCCGACCTTCCAGGCTGCACCCACCTGCCGGGTCCTTGACAGATGCTGTGGTGGCCCCGCTTGCTCTCCCCCTGAACCCCTATGACAGGCGGCCGCTGCAGTCAGTCTGGGAAGAAGGGGTCCCCAGGCCGTGGAAAGGTCGGTGGGCAGCCAGGGTGACAGATGCCTGTTACCCCCATTTCCTGATGTTTCCTAACGCGCCCTCTGCGCGCCCATCTCCAGAGACCCGCAGCAACTCCTTCCCGCGGAGAAGCCCCGCTGGTCTCCCGGCTGCCTCCCATGCACCTCATCCTACTCCGGAGGTCTCACTACGGTTAGAAAGCCGGGCCTGCCTGGGCGGTTTGCGGGACACAGGGGTCCTTGTCGGGAGCGCGAGAGCTGCGCTGCCCCGCACTCCCAACTCTTCTGACCCCTCGGGAGACCCCTGCGCCGGGCATGTCCAGGAGCCTGGTTCTGGAATGGACTGAACAGGTTTGGGTGCCAGAGCCTCAGGTACCTGTGTTTGCCCTTCCTTGCGCCTCTAAATTATCTACTCTTTGGAGTGGTGATTTCTGCCCGAGGACACAATGAACAGGGTCCCTGGCACTTTCTGTTTGGGGTCCAGAGGGTTTCTAAGGTGAGAATGTGCATATTGATTTAGTTGCTGCTGCGCAAAAACTTAGAAAAACTGGTGGGGTTTTCTGTTCCCTTTAGTGAAGGAGATTGGTTGCTTTGCTTCTTTTTTCATCTCGGAAGCAGTTTTCTTTTCCTTAAATATTATGTGAGGTCATTCTCTTTGAGTCCAAGTGTTCCATTTTGCCTACCTCCCCAGTTGGAAACAACTTGTTTATAAAGGTGTGACTCTTAAAATAGGCAGAAGCCTAGAAAACAGAGGAAGCTTTCATCTTCTCTTCCTACTGAGGGGCACTTGGTAGGTCTTTCTCAGTTGAACACCTCCTTCAAAGACATTGCTTGTGACCGGAATATTATTAATGATCTTAGACCTGCAGCGGTAGTATAGTGCAAAAGCTGCCCTTAAGATGCAGGAATCACCTAGAGGCAGCCGGTTGATGGTGTGTCACAGCTGAGTAAGGAGCTGGGCAAGTGGAACTGGTCAGCTCACTTAGCGTCTAAGGAAATGCACTCTGTCTTGTTCCTTTGTGAAATACTCCGGTAAAGCATTGGTATGAAATTAGAGTATGTTACCAATAGCTTTGTGATAAATACATGGGAGTTAAAAATTGAACCTGTTGGGTTTATAATAATTCAAAGACGCTTCTGCAAAGGGACCCTTTCTCAATGCAATCTTTTAATATGATTTGAAAGTTTGTCCTTGAAAGGTTATTGAAATGTGCATGTGAAGAGGCTCAGTGTCATTAAGAAACATATTTGCTGATTAAAATACTGCCCTCATTTTAGAGGAATATTTTCTTTGCTTAGGCAAATATTTATTTTTGATAAGCTAACAACCAGTTGGGAAGTGCATATTTATAGCGGCATGCTGTTTTGGCTCTGATAAAGTAAATGAACAACCACATAGACCAAGTTGTCTCCTCTTTCCAGAAACTTGAAGAATTATGTAGTCAAAGTTGTAGGCATAAGCTTATAGCCGTTGAGTTTGAACTTCACTTTGGGGTGTAAGGTTTAACTTCATCTTGGGGATGCCCATTGAATGACTTCATATCTTGTAAGATTTTTGTCAAAATACTAAGTTCCTTTTTAAAAAACATAGACACATCAGTTAAATTTGACTATAAAATAATGTGATTATTCTTTACTTTTGTGGAATGGAAAATCATTAGATTCTGCAAAAAGCCAGATATGTGTTCTAAATTGTGCAAATTGGAAGTTACTCATTTATTTTCTGAAACCTTGAAGTTATTTTCTATTACAAATAAAGTATATCTTCACATGGGTAACAGAGTTCACTTTTACAACCTTCAGGCAAAATCCAAGAAGGCAATTCTCAGATGGACACAGAAACCTTCCAAACTATTTTATATCTCTTAGCAACCAAATAGACGTCAGTTTTTAGGTGAGCATTTAACATCTGAAAATGCAAAGTCAAAAAAATGATGATAGGGTCATAATTAGTGAGTAAAATGCTTAGTGAATATTTCAGAGTGAACAATACCCACTAGTGCTAATATTAGATCTGTAAGTGTCATGCATTTTATGATCTGCATGGAATAAGTCTTTGTCTTTTCACATGGGATTTTTAATAGAAAAATCCTGCTTTAAATGATCTCAAGTTAAATGTTCAGCGGACAATGACATCAGTCCCTTCTGTATTCTGTGCCTTACTTGTTAAAGAGGACCCATCTCTTTCTAAAATCCTAAGGCATCTTAAAAAATCAAGTTGTTGCTGTTTTTTTTAATGTTGAGTTAGAAATCCTTGATCAAAGAGTCTCCCTTATCATATACTCATATTAAAGTATATCCTTTAATACTAATGCTTGATAATGACACTATTCAGCCAATAATTTCAGCATACATCTTTATTTAAGTCCAAATGATGATGATGATATGACAGCATTTTGTGTGTGAAAAATGTTTATAGTCTTTGTGCTGCAAAACTTTAGATACTGTACATATCTAGAAAAGGCATTAAGTTATGTGGGGGGGGGCGATTGTGGAAACTTTCAAAGTTTCTAGCACAGTTGCCATTTGAATTAAGGAATGTTCATTCCCTTTATGTGTTTACACTATTTTGTAGGTTAATGAAAGCATTTAAAACTCACAGAATTTTATGGGCTATAAATTTTATGGGCTATATGTATCTCTATCATCTATCTCTATCTCTATCTCTATCTCTATCTCTATCTCTATCTCTATACCTATACCTATATCTGCATCTGCTGTAGAGGCTTTCCTTAGATAAAGCACAGTTGTACCACTATCTTCTACTCTGAAAGTATCTCACTGAGTAAGCTTCAGTGGAATACTTAAGAGCCTTAGCTTTAGATATTTGTTACAGTTGACTTTCTAACTTTACCAAATGTTGGCTGTTTTGATAGATGTCATCTGAACACAATGCATTGTTTTTTCTTAATTAATTTGTTCTAAACTTAGCTTCTTGAGTTGCAAGATTTTGAGTGAGTTGTTTTCTGCCTTAGCCATTCCAACTAGTGGTACTAATTATGTGTTAGAGGACTTAAAATAGCTCTCAGTGGAATTAAGTGAAGTAGACAGTATGTTACTTAAATTGGTTAAAGGATATCTTCAGTACTGTAGTTTTCTAAATCATATGAGAATTATCTGCATTAATGATTTTCATGGAGATGTAGATACCTCTTCCATCAAAGGCAGGAGTTTAATTCATCCGCCCATCCATTCATCTATCCACCATCTACCCTTCTATTGTTTTTAGCTGCTAATCTGTTAATCTGGTTATGAAAATAAGGCAAGGCAATAGGCCTAGTGGTGAAATTACTCAATGCTTTTCTCTGATGTTTTCCAAGGGTAGAAAAGTTTGTGAGAAACAGGGGCTGGCTTGTGTCATGCTGATTTTGAATGACTTGAGTAACAAGGCAATGAAAAGTACCTTCCCAGATAAAAGAAAAATATAAATCTTAATCATGTACACATATTAACTACTTATAATCCTTCATTTACACATTTTAAATACTGTTTAGAGCCTGAGCTTTCTGTTTCTTGAAAGGGAGTATGCATTTTAAAAAGTTAAGCAACCAAGATTGAAAGAATCATTTTAGTATTTCCACTATGAAAATCAACAGAATTATGTATCTTTTGCCTCTTATTTTAACCCATAAGTATAGAGCATCAAGGAAGCCAGAATCAGAATTATATTTTTAGAGTATACGAGTTGGATAAAAAGTGCTGCGTAACCACAGCGGTGCTATGCACTGGGAGCTTTGCTTTAGTACTTTTATGGCTGTCATTTTACTTTGAGGGGGCTTTGCTTTTTTCTAAAAAGACAAAATGATGAGGAATGAGCTCTAGAAATTAGCACAACCAACACATAGCAATCATTCCAATGAGGAAAATGAAGTGATAAAATCAGTGGCATCTTAAATTGAAGTTATACCTTGCATGTGAATAGAGATTACATTTTCTTCAAAAAGCTAGTTATATCATTAGGGATTATTGTTGTGTACTTTGATGTGTTTTTGAGCATCATCATTGTCAGACTTGCTACATAACCATATATTCCACCGAGAGATCAGCATATGCCACCTTCATAGCAAAAGACATTGCAGAGTTGCTGCGTGGCACAAAAGATCACATTTTAAAAAATGTCTTCTTTTCACTAACAAGATCTGGAACTTTTTAGTATTTACTAATCTAATCATATCTTTATGATTATGAGACGTGATTCTTATGGTGTTTGTAATTTTATTTACTTGCAGTAACCATATGCTGAAAATCTTGTGACTAAATATGTCTCAGACTTGCTTTTCTGGGTAAATTTACTTTAAAATACAGCATTTCTGTGTTCCTGGAGCTGCTCTGTATTTAGCATAGGAGAGACATTTAGCACTAGGTGGCAGTGCGCGATGCTGAGAAGCCTTGGGTCATTTCAGTTGCAGTAAATTTATTTTTAAAGCTTTAAAAAAATTTATATCATGAGTGAATTAAAATCAACAGAAATATAAATCCTTAATAGTATATTTAGAAGATCTATTATTTGTAATACTTTAACAATTTGATAGTAATATTTAACACTGCTTTTATGA